AATATTACCTTTAGAAGTCTTTCGCCCACCTACAGACACTGTAGAAACTGTAGTCAAAGACAACCGCAATCAACTATAAATTCTCTTGAGGTTGATTACCAAGTATAGGATGAAGACTTCAAGTTCCACCTCAAAGAATCTTCTTCGCTCATTGTTTGATGTTTTCAAATTCAAGTTGAACATGGTTTTCAATTATGTTTCAACTTGAGGGGGAGCTTTAGAAGTTATATTAGGAAATAATTTATTCATGTTAGAATTTATGATGATTAAATTTATTTTCTTGGATTGAAATTATTTTTTTTCCTATTTTATATTTTATGTTGTTTCCTTTATCTCCAAGTAATTAATATAAATTTATTAATTGAAGTCTTGGAGATACAAGTATTATATCTTTCATTTCTTGTCATTTTATTTTTATTGTCTTTCCTATTATAGATTTATGTAAGGATTATTTATGCCCCCGTTTCATATCAATAATATTATTATGAATTTCAACAAGTACATAGAAGGATTTGCTTTTGAGTTAAAAGAAGCTAAATATACATACATAACACAACTCTTATGTATTTACAAATCTCACACCTATAATTCAAATTTACATACATAGCATTTCAATGCTTTAAATCTAAGGTCTATTTCAAATTTGAAAAGAGGTAATAGTGCTATTTTTGATGTGATATTTAAAATTTGAAGCATAGCTAAACTGAACAGTGGTTCAGCTCGGCTCAGCAGGGGCAACGGGGGGACTCCAGTTTCAGCAGGGGGCTGAACTGGCCCATCCCTCCCGTTCCTTTGGGCGGCCCGCCCCTTCTTTGCCATTTCCTATTCGAATCCTTCCATAAGTGGGATCCTTTCCTAGTCTATTTCATTTCTTTTCTATCCCCCTTCCTATTCTATCTATCCTCTATTATATGTATGTTGTGTGTTTCTTTAGAGAGGAGGTTTTTTTGCTTGTTTCTAATTTCAGATTCCTGCCGACAAAAGATTCCCTTTGCTAGAGATATATTGAGGCTCTCTTCTGCCGCCCATCCTGCTTGCAGCCACCCAACTGCCACCCCATCATATCTGCAGCCATCCAATTGCCGCTTTATCTTCCCTGCAGCCATCCAATTGCCACCCAGCATATCTGCAATCACCCAGCCACCGATCCGCTTCCCTATAGCCACCCAGTTGCTTCCCCACATCCCTGCAGTCACCCAGTTGATGTCCCCTTTCCCTGTGGCCACCCTATTGTCGAACCATCCTCCCTGCAGCCTTCCTACCGCTGTCCTTCCCCAGAAGACTTCTCTGTGGCCGCACCTTCTTCCTGCACCCTGTCCTTGCTGCTGCCCTTCCTTCAAAGAGCCTCCTACTGTAGACATAGTCTCTCGACCAACCCCACACCAGCTGCCCCACAGGAGTTCATCACCTTTCCCCTCGCCTTAGGGTCCCGTCTTATGTTTTTTAGCATTCATTTCTGCTTTGGAAAGTCGTCGTTCTAACCTATTTAATTTCAGTAATAATATTTCTATTTTTATCGTGGTTCGATTAACTCTGGTATCATGTGTGCTATGCACGTAAATTCTCCAAAAAAATCGAGAGTTGGAAGAAATTTTTTAAAATCAATCTCTTAGACTCCATGCCATTCAGATTTTTGGCTGACATTGCTCAAAAAACAAACCTTAATGAAAATGCAATTAGCAGCCCAGGAAGAAGGATGTCACCAAAGCCAATAATACTATATCCACCCCAAGGATCAAACATGCGAGGGATCTTAAGCAGCATAGGAACTCCATCTTCTCCACTCTTATCACCACGTGCAACCTATGGAGAATGACAGAAATCAGCCTGATTACTCTATAACGACCATATTAATAGTTAGGGGCATTTACATGCATACCACTCAATTCATATGTATTACATATCTAACACCAAAACTACGCTTTTTTACATTTAAACCACCCAAATCTTTCATATCACATCAAAAATGCCACCATTTTAACTTAAAAAAAAAAATAAAATCCACTTTTTTCATGCACAGGTAAGATTATGTAAAAATTCAAGTTTAGGTGTTAGATATGTAATGAAAAAAGGAAGAGTGGCATGTAAGTAAATCTTCCTAATAGTTAAATCACAAAATGGTCCCCAGACTTTTCGAATTTAGCCAATTTAATCCTAAAGCTCTGTAGTGCTTCAATTTATTACCCTGACTATCAAAAATCGATCTCAATTGATCCCCTAGAGACTGAATTGAGATCATTTTGTGTAGTCAAAGAACTAAATTGAAACCATTTTTGTGTCATAATTTCTAACGAGAGACTAATTGAGATTAATTTTCAACAGGGGACTAAACTGAAGCCCCACAAAATTCTGGGCCTAATTTGGTCACATTCAAAGAGTCAAAGAACTAAATTAAAAGAAGGAACTTACCACAATCATTACACTCTCATGGAAGAACCAGTTGGAAGCAAAAACCCAAAAGATGTCATAAAGGAAGGCACAACTGAGAAGCACAGTACCAACCTGATCACGTTCAGAAAAAAAGATCATATGTGATTACTGTCTGCTGATCTGTAAAAAAAATTTTTTTTTTCTATGGAGCACTCAAATGAATAGCGCAATATTCCTTTGAATAAAGCTAGTTTATTTTCATTTATTTCCCTGATTGAACAAATTCCAGTGAAGTAGTACTCCATTTTTGCTCCTGAATATGCTTGTTTGTGTTTAAATTAACAAAATATTTATTTTACCTGCTTATTTAACAACATTTTTATGCTTTTGTATCAACTTTCAACTATCTTATGCACAATAATATATATATGTATGATGAATTATATTTACAAAACTAGATGGTTTGACTAAATTCTAACTGTATGTTTTATTAGTTTTTATAACTTCCATAAACATTGAAAATAATAATGCATGAATTAGTATAAATTTTGATGAAAATTTATTAAATGCTTTTATGCTCAAGAAAAAGGTTTTATATTTAAATATTATCATCTTATATGTGCTTAGCAAGGCTCAATTAAACTGATTACAAGCTCGAACATTAAAAAAAAAAAAATTAGCTGGATCAAGACTTTAACTTAGGTCATGTACAAGCTTGACTTAAATATGATTAGAAAAATAAATAAAATAATTGATCGTGATGGTATTCAACTCAACTCAGTTCATTTACGGCTCTAGTGATCATGTTGCTTAGCAGCCATCAATTATATTATAGAAAACAATAAATCTAAGGATTATATATTAGGAAGCCTTATTATAGGAAATGTAATAAATATATTTTCTACATTACTTCACCTAATTAGAGATCAAATTGTGGGATGTTTCCTCCATTAGAAATATTCATAAACTATAAATATTAGAGTGTATATAAATATGTAATATATGTTTTCTGTTGAATAATACGAGAAAGAGCTGTTTGCCATTATATGGTATCAGAGCCACGTAAGGCTCATCATTGATAGTGTGCTCTTTAATTCGGCTTTGTTCCCTGCACGCAAGTGCAGCTTCGTTTGGGTTGTTCGAATCGTTCATCTGTAAGTCAAAGACAAACAATTCGATGTACACTGGGTATTCTTGTTGCCAGCATCATCCCGCAGCTAATTCCATTGTGTTTCACTTTCTCAGGCGCAGTTCTGGTTCATCTTGCAACGTCGGTTGTAGCTCAAGTGCAGTTTTCCATCGCGAGTGGTCATCTCCTGCGGCGTGCGGCATCGTTTGTCGTGTTTGTTTGTCTTCAACGTTCGTTGAACTGTTCGTCGATTCTTTTGACTCCTATGGCTTGGTATTGTTCATCTCTGACATTCCTCTCATCCTTAGGCTCATCTGTACCGTCTCGTCTATGCCGACATGTTGAGGAGCTCATCCAAAAGTGGTTGGGCCTTTGGTTTGCCCGAAACAGACGACAAGATCATAGCACACAAGATTAGTTTCGCCCCATCTCATATTTCAACAAACAACACAATTGACATTAATTGATTCGTTCTCTTCGAATATTCTGTGATAATCATTGACGACAAACAAAAACATGTCGTGACAAGTTTGGTTCATCAATGATTAAAATTACATATGAGAAGTTAAATGACGTCAATTATATTTGTTGGAATAAAACCGTGAGACTCTATTTGAGTAGCATTTCTCAAGAGAGTCACCTTTTTTATAATCCCCGAACTGAGACTCATCTGAATTATTTCGAGTAGATGAAAATTAATGCCCAACTCCTGATACAATAAGGAATTTTATCGAACCCGATCAATATAGTGATATTACTCATTGTGATTGTGTTAGAGATGTGATGAAGAAATTGACATTTGCATATTCCGAGAGAGAAAATATGATACCTAGATTAATCCAAACCACAATAGAAAAAATATATATTAATACCAAAAACAAATAGGTGGTTACAATCAACACACTAGAAACTAAAAATACACACGATATTCGAAAATTTGAAATAGCAACAACTATGTAGCACTGACACTTCTAAAAATATGTCGCACCCGTGTCGAACACTTATCGAACACCAACACTTGGTTGATATACCCCAATACTTCTCTAACACTACAAAATATATGTCTGAATTTTTTCAAGCCCAAACACGTCTGGGTCACACCTCAACACCACATCGGGTGTGAGCTTAATACAATTTTGAGAAAATGGAACATGGGAATTAGAGAATCATAAATTTATGTATAGCTTTAATAATACCTCATAGTCGAAATCGCCTCATCTCTCATCATGTTAAAGCTCCCTCTAACATTCGTCAAAATCGAGCATTGAAGGTGCATCAAATAGTTATCAAAGCCCAACATTAGTAATTCACTCTTTGCAATCATAAGATTTTTAAATTTTTGTTGAGAAGTTGGATGAATTCTTCTGAAATATATTATATCTAATTTTAAAAATTGACTTTCATAAACATAGGTTTTATAACATAAATTAAATTTATGAAGTTAAATTTTATTCTCGTATAATTGTATTTTGATGTTTTAAATAAAGAATAAGACGAATATATATTTTTTATATTAATAATTAATTAAATATAAAAAAGTGTTCATGACATATCATGTCATTTTTTTTAAATTATGTCATGTCCCCATATCGTGTCCTCTACGTGTCCCTGTGTCCGTGTTCGTGCTTCATAGAGCAATAAACACAAAAAATAATCAAACTATGACGGGATCAAGGGATGGTGGTGGTGATCGGCAGAAGCTTGGAAAGATGGCTGCAAGGTAGAGGGGTTGGATGGTGGGGAAACGACGACACAACAATGGTCGCTTGCTATTATGGGTGGCAACATGCAGGAAATAACAAAAATAACAAGAGGATAACAAGACAAGCGGTGGCATTTTGTTGTTTGGGGGGAGCAACAAGGTAGGCGGGTAGACAACAAGGAACAGCGGATCAAAGAGCAACAATTTGTTGTTTGGGGGTGGCACCGGCAAAGTAGAGGGGTTTTGGGGTAGTTGTGAGGGTTGACAATTGTTAGAGATGGTTGGGATATCAGGGTAACGACAATAGCAAGTGGTAGAGACATCAAGTAAGTACAACAACTCCTAATTGTTCGAGATGGCGGCGACGGCAAGCCGAAATGCGAATGGCAGCAACAAGCCGCAACATGATTGGCAGCGGCTAGAAAATGGAAAAACTGTAGGGAAAAAGGAGCAGCGGGGGGGAGCCCACACTTTTGGCAGAGGTGTAGCTTTTCTCCTCTTTAATAGCCCAGGGTCTAACCCTAGGACTTTCCTGTCGATTACTCCTAGAAAACTAGCAAAGGAGCCCTCCCCGTTAGAAATTCTGAGTTTTTCTTCGCTCGACTTGACGCTCCACATGATAGTTTTGACCGTTATTACTTAGTAGGTAAGGCTACTGTGTAGAAACTCAAGGAACATCCCTATAGGACTGTTGGCCTTAGGATTGATCGTACGCGTTGATTTGACACCGTCGTGCTTTTCGCCGTCCTGTTTGATTGAGCTCGAGCCGAATTTTTGACGTGATTCGGATCGCGACGCGTTTTTGTCTCAATTGTCGACGGGGTTGCCTAAACGACTCCGGATGACAAAACAGACTGCATTGACGCGTCCGAAACGTCGATTTTGCCTAAAGGGAACGTTCCTTTCACTGCGACGACACGTCTGGGGAAAAATAAACATTTAAGTGTTAATTATAATAATTAAAAATATTTTATTATTATCATTATTATAATTAATACCTTATATTAAATCCTAACCTATTTTCATTATCTCCCCCCCTCCCCTCTACTGAGTCTCGACCCCGTGGACCCTCTACTGAGTCTCGACCTCGTGGACCTCTGCCCTAGCTTCGGCTCGCTCGGTTCCACCTGGCCCGTTCTTTCGTGCCGTTGGAGCTCGTTCCCGCGCTCACCTCGCCCACGTCGGACGATCCCACGACCCATCCCTTATCGTATCTCATCCTCTGCGAGGATCTCATCCTCTGCCTCTCGCACGCCCATATGGGAGCGTCTACTCCTCTTGATCCTTCGAATCGTATGTGATCCCCTAATCATTCCCTCTCATTCTCTCTGGTTTATATGAGACTCTGTTTGGTGCATTTCCAAGGGGGCAAAAAAAAATCTCTTAAGAGGTACCTTCTTCCCCCCCTTCTGTGCCTTGCTTCTTTTCGGTTTTCCCTCTGCCGAGACTTTGAGCTTGGTATTGTGGATGGTATAGCATGCTAGGGTGATATCGCACTTATATTTTTGAAATATTTGTTACTCAAGCATCTAGAAATGGAAATGTGAGCATGTTCTAGGGGCCACTTATGGTTATTTGTTTGAATCGATAAAAGCAGAGCATGTTATTAGTTGCTTTCCACTTTTCTGCTTGAAATATTTGGAAGTATTATGGATGTAGCCTTGAAATGAAATTTGCTCCTCTGGAATACATGTTGGAATGCACTGGAAAGCTTTTTGTTACTATCACTTTTGCTTAAAATGAATACTAGAGAGTTCGCTTTACTTTTAAAGTTCTACAGCTGTTCTTGTTTGAAACACGTGGTGGCCCTATGTTTTGATGTTTTGAAGACAAGAGGATGTTTTCTAGCTTTTGTTGTGGCCGAGTTCTGAGCTTTAGCTGCGGCTCAATTTGGCTCCTTGTAGCTTTTCCTTACTTGAAATACATGTTGTGAGAAAATCTATTTCACTTGGAAGTGTCTTATATACTTCTTTGATAGTTTGGTTTGGCTCCTCGAAGGGGAAGGGAACATCTTTCATACTTAGAACAATTATATTGGTAGCTTAATATATTTTTCATGCTACTGTTACAGTTTAGAACATATTTTGGCTCCATATTTTGATGTTTCAAGGGCATATGGGTATTCTTTAACCCTTGGATGACATGGGTTTTGAATCTTTACTATGGTTGGGTTTTGACCTCTATTGGGGCTCAGTTTTCACCTTGGAAGGGCATGAGATGTTGGTTATGTTGAGGCTTGCCTTTTGGTTTTGGTTGAAACATTTTGGTTTTGGTTATGACCTTGAGGGGTTTGCTTTTGGC